AGAATTTGGAGTAGTCATGAATGATGATTCTATAAGATGAAGTGTGTAATTCAATGAAATGAAGTGTATTAGTAGTGTTTTCTCATTAGTGCGTTGAGTTCATGACCAATTTGCGAATAAAATCAATAAAAAAACATTTTAAATCACATATAAACTAATGTGAGAGTGATTATAGGTCTTATAAACATCGTTCAAAAACAAAATTCGGTGCTTTTATATGTTCATTACAAGTGGTACTAATGACCCAATGTCAGGTACCACAACAATATAATGCTGGTACTACCTACTCTATGTCTGGTACTACTTTTTGTAAATGTTGACCAAAATTGAAACAATCACTTTTCGTTAACAGAAGTAGGTACTAATCGATCAAAAAAAGGTACCACGTAGAAGAAGATGTGGTACTATTTTGGCTAAAATATGTACTATTTTAAGAATCATGATTCTCTGATCCTTCATGTCTAGCATGACAAGTGGATCGTTCACGCGTGATTTGGATGAAAAATAATGGAAGTTAAAACATATATGTAGAATTTAGAGTAGTCATGTATGATGAATCTATTGAGATGAAGTGTCTCATTCAACGAAATGAAGTGTATTTGCAGTATTTTCTAATTATTGTGTCGAGTTCATGATCAAGTTGCATTAAACTCAATTATAAATATTTTAAATCTCATATAAACTAATATGAGAGTGATCTTGAGTCATATAAACATCATTTGAGACCGAAATTCGGTGTTTTTATATGTTCGTTACAAGTGGTACTGATGACCTAATATATGGTAGTGACACAATAGAAAACCGGTACTATCTTACTCTAGGACTGGTACTACTTTTATAAATGTTGACCAAAAGTGAAATAATTCATTTTCGTTCACAAAAGTAGGTACTAATCGATCAAAAAAGGTACCACGTAGAAGAAGATGCGGTACTATTTTGGCTAAAACATGTACTATTTTATGAATCGTGATTTCTCTAATCTTTCATTTCTACCATGACACGTGGATCGTTCACGCATGATTTGGATGAAAGATAGTGGAAGTTAAAACATATAGGTAGAATTCGGAGTAGTCATGTATGGTGATTCTATGAGATGAAGTGTGTCATTCAATAAAATAAAGTGTATTAATAGTGTTTTCTCATTAGTGTGTCGAGCTCATGAACAATTTGTGACTAAACTCAATTAAAAACATTTTAAATCTCATATAAACTAATGTAAGAGTGATCATAGATAATATAAACATCATTTGAGACCGAAATTCGGTGTTCATATGTGTTCGTTACAAGTGGTACTGTTGACCCAATATACGGTACTAACACAATACAAAACTGGTACTATCTTACTCTAGGTCTGGTACTACTTTTTGTAAATGTTGACCAAAATTGAAACAATCCATTTTCATTCACAAAAGTAGGTACTAATCGATCTAAAAGAGGTACCACGCAGAAGAAGATGTGGTACTATTTTGTCTAAAACAAGTACTATTTTAAGAATCGTGATTTCTCTAATCATTCTTCTCTACCATGACACGTGAATCATTCATGCATGATTTGGATGAAAAATAGTGGAAGTTAAAATATATAGGTAGAATTTGGAATAGTCATGTATGATGATTCTATGAGATGAAGTGTGTCATTTAATGAAATGAAGTGTAATAGCCGTATTTTCTAATTAGTGTGTCAAGTTCATGATCAATTTACAATTAAACTCAATTAAAAATATTTTAAATCTCATATAAGCTAATGTGAGAGTGATCCTAAGTCATATAAACATCATTTGAGACCGAAATTCGGTGTTTTTATATGTTCGTTACAAGTGGTACTGATGACCTAATGTCTGGTACTAACACAATAGAAAACTGGTACTATCTTACTCTAAGTCTAGTACTACTTTTTGTAAATGTTGACCAAAATTGAAATAATCCATTTTCGTTCTCAAAAGTAGGTATTAATCGATCAAAAAGAGGTACCACGTAGAAGAAGGTACTATTTTGGCTAAAACATGTACTATTTTAAGAATCGTGATTTCTCTAATCCTTCATGTCTACCATGACACGTTGATTGTTCACGCATGATTTGGATGAAAAATAGTGGAAGTTAAAACATATAGGTAGAATTTGGAGTTGTCATGTATGATGATTCTATGACATGAAGTGTTCATTCAATAAAATAAAGTGTATTATGAGTGTTTTCTCTGTGTCGAGCGTTCATTACCAATTTGTGATTAATCTCAATTAAAAATATTTAAAATCTCATATAAACTAATGTGAGAGTGATCATGGTCATATAAACATCATTTGAGACCGAAATTCGGTGTTTATATGTGTTCGTTACAAGTGGTACTGGTGACCCAATATCTGGTACTAACACAATACAAAACTGGTACCATCTTACTCTAGGTCTGGTACTATTTTTGTAAATGTTGACCAAAATTGAAACAATCCATTTTCATTCACAAAAGTAGGTACTAATCGATAAAAAAGAGGTACCAAGCAGAAGAAGATGTAGTACTATTTTGGCCAATACAGGTACTATTTTAAGAATCGTGTTTTTTTAAATCTTTCATGTCTACCTTTTCACGTGGATCTTTAACGCATGATTTGAATAAAAAATAGTGTAAGTCAAAACATATAAGTAGAATTTAGAGTAGTCATGTATGATGAGTCTATTGAGATGAAGTGTCTCATTCAACGAAATGAAGTGTATTTGCAGTATTTTCTAATTATTGTGTCGAGTTCATGATCAAGTTGCATTAAACTCAATTAAAAATATTTCAAATCCCATATAAACTAATATGAGAGTGATCTTGAGTGATATAAACATCATTTGAGGCCGAAATTCAGTGTTTTTATGTGTTCGCTTCAAGTGGTATTGATGACCTAATATCTGGTACTGACACAATAGAAAAATGGTACTATCTTAGTCCAGGTCTGGTACTACTTTTTGTAAATGTTGACCAAAATTAAAAATATCCATTTTTGTTCACAAAAGTAGGTACTAATCGATCAAAAAGAGGTACCACGAAGAAGAAGATGTGGTACTATTTTGGCTAAAACAGGTACTATTTTAAGAATCATTTTTTTTTTAAACTTTGCTTTTTCACGTGGATCGTTTACGCGTGATTTGGATGAAAATTGTGGAAGTTAAAGCATATATGTAGAATTTGGAGTAGTCATGTAAGATGATTCTATGAGGTGAAGTGTGTCATTCAATAAAATGAAGTGTATTAGTAGTGTTTTTCTCATTAGTGTGTCGAGTTCATGACCAATTTGTGATTAAACTCAATTAAAAATATTTTAAATCACATATGACCAATGAGATGAAGTGTATTAGTAGTGTATTTTCATGTTGTGTGTTGAGTTTTTGACCAATTTGCAATTAAACTTAATTAAACACATTCTAAATCTCATAGAAGCTAATCGAGAATAATTTTTGGTCATGTAAACATTATTTAAGACCGAATTCTGGTGTTTTTTATGTTCGTCGGAGTTTGCATGAAGACCCAATATCTGGTACCAATTTTGTAAATGTTGACCAAATTTAATGTAATCTATTTTTTGTTCTTTCTACAAAGTATGTACTAATTCATCAATAATCGATACTGCATAGAAGAAGAAGTGGTACTATTTGTGAAAAAAAACTGATACCATTTTACGGAATTCTTTTTTTTTTCTTATGTCCGTCGGTGCTGGCACTGAAGACCCGATTTCTGGTATGAAAACAAACATTAAAAATTATAGTACAATGTACATCGTATCATATTTAAGACAAACGTGAACTAGATTAACTATCATGTCTACCACTAACTAAAATTACAAAGAATGAAATTAGGAGCGAGCTACAACTTTGAGTTGCGAATTGCAAGTTGGCACGAGCTGCGGGCTACGACAAAAAATTTGAGCTGCGAGCTGTTACAAAAATCTTTGAACGGGCTATCGTGAAATTTGAGCTGCGAGATGCAATAAAAGCCTCGAGTGGGGTATATTATTATCCGATCTGCGAGCTGCTACAAAAGCCATGAGCAGGCTATGGTAGAATTTGAGCTGCTAGCCACTACTGTTATTAGAGCTCCAAGCAAAATGAAGTTAAAGCATTGTTGCAGCTAAAAACAAAAAAATATATGTAGCGCATATGCATAACAGGATTTGATACAGCAAGTCAAATAACATGAATCCGCCACCGGAAGCTGGAGAATGATTTATAATGGAATGCAAATGATCGATTCTGCATATTGCTAACAGAGATGTATGCGAGCAACATACAAAGTAGCAATCGAATTAGCCACAGGAAAACGAACCAAACAAGGATGCAACCCAAAAAGACGAGCACAACACGTAAAAGCAGGAATCGCTACTAATCTAAAGCAAAAGAGCAATCCGCCCATCACGAGAGCATCTCGCGAAAAATCAGAAACTAGCAGGAGCGACACACATCAAGGATTAAGAAAATTCCTGTCGAGAATCATATAAAAATCGCGAGTAAGGGCAAAGCATCCGAAAGCAACTTAACTCACGCCACGGAAGTCTGGGAGCATCAATTCGTGTGAGATTCACAAGAAAACGAGCAATACAAACGTGATTCACACATCAAGATTAACACATCACAACCAGCACCACAAATCAAGAAAAAATATGCCTAAAGAGAATAAACACATACAAACCGAAAACTCGACTCACTTGTAATCTCGAAATACGTTGAATCTGACTTGATATCTCACAAAATAGGGATCACGAGTAGCCTGCCAGGGGAGTAACCAAAGAACCGCAGCTAACACGCTGGGAATAGAAAATCTCGACTGAACACGTCGCTACAGAATTGAAGACCGCGACCACTAAATCACGATTGAGGAAAAATTGCAGCAGAAAAGGTAAATCAGGAGACGAAGTGCAGAAATTTGGACAGAACCGAAGTAAAAATATCAGAGGAAATATATATTTCTTCGATTCCATTGAAACCAGATCCAAATTGTCCCTCTTATCAAAGTGAATTCTCTCACTCACCTATTCCCACTCAGAATCGTCCCTCTCGTTATCACCAGCACGATAATTATCATTAAAACCATAAAAAGGATCGTAATAATCTCCATCGTTACAAGCCCTAGATTTACCTCGGAATCGGACTCCGAATCGGTGACTGCCTGCCCCCGGCCTGTGTAGATGTCCAAACGAAGATCCTCCGACAACGGTCACGCTGGAACAGTTCCGGGATGGAATTTGTCCCGTCATCGTCTTCTTCACCTCTGGAGGAGAAGCCATCGGGATCCTCGTAATCGCGGTACGAGGCCTGGAAACTTTTTTTCCGGTTATTTCTTTACGAACGTGGATGGGCCTCGCGAGCTCTTCCTGTGTGTCGATTCGGACGCCGGAGATCCAGATTTCCCGGAGGCAATTTCACGAAGAGAGATTCAGAGAAAGATGAGAACTGATAGAGTGTATGAGAGAGAGACGAGAATTGAGAGAGAAATTACTATTTTTTCTATTTTCAAGTAAAATAAATGGATAATAATAATATTATTATATATAGTGGGACTGAAGTGGAAAAAGAAAGTATGTGTTAGGGAGTGCAGAAGAATAAAATTAACTTAGGGACTGACAAGGAACTTGAATATGGCAGGAGGGATTTATCTTGCATTTGCCGATAATAATTTATACAAAATTGGGTAATGCATTCTATGGGATGCAGTATTTAAAATAAAATATTTTTTTTCTTACATCATCAATCAATCCTCCCTATATTATTCTCGAATACGCTGAGCCTACGTAGCTATTTATGGTGCTTCGAAATTCTATTTGACAAAAAATCATGCTTCGTAATTAGGTTTGGACAAATAATATTGATATATTAATAATTAATAATTTAGGTTTGGACATTCCATAAATATTATTTAGTTAATTTAGATATTTTAATATTACTTGTACTAATATAACCCTTTATTTCTTTGTAATTTTACATACTAGTGACTAATATATCCCTGACTTTTGATTTGTTTCCTTCAATTAGCTATTGAATTATAAATGTATTTTAAAAGTTGATAATTTTTGTATTTCTTATCGGTTTTACATATATAATATATCAAATTAATCATCTTTTGATGATTTTTGATTTGACATCCATATTGTATATATGAAATAAATAAATTATATTTATCTTTATAATAATTAAAAATAATAATATTTATTAAAATTCATTAGAAAAATAAAATTAGTTCTCAATTGATATATTTATGTTTAATGTAGTTAATATGCATGATGCTACTCAACTTAAATCTTAAATCTTTAGTCTTTAATATCTTTAAACTACTAGGCATGCTACCGACTATAATTCATTACTCTAAATATATCAGGATTTAAGCATGCATAGACTAAAATTCTAGATACTGAAATATTGTATACAGAAATACTAAGTGCGGAAGCAAATGCAAGCATGCATGAACAAAGCATAATAACTCCAACATTTTCAAATATACATGAAATGTTTACTGAAAATATCCTTGTTATGACCACCACCACATCATCGGCTCACGCTCTACGCTCGTTTGGGACATCGACGAAACTCGACGGGACCCAACGGCTACGCTCGGCTTTCGGTTCTCAGCCCTAGGCTCTCGCACGGGTATATTTATGGATATTAAAACATAACTAATGCTCTGGAAAAAGACCATAAATATCGAGTATACTTATGGATATTCCAAGCTTAGTTACTTTTGGATCGGGAATAAATTAAAAATTAACCAAGCCAAACAACAAAGCTAAAAAACATGCTACATAGGATTTCGAAGCGTGCGGGCCTGCAACATAGGCTCAACGCATTCGGGAATTACATATATAAGGGGATATATAATACATGTAAATATTTACATATATATCAATTCTTATTATATATGTTGAAAGAATGTAAATAAATAAATATAGACAAAATATAGATAAAGTATTTTTAATGACCAATATGTGTTGCATGAGAGAATAGAGTTACTAAGAATTAATTATACTAATGAAAAATATGGATTAGCGTTGGTCAATTATCGAACAATATGCAGATTATGAATTGTTAAAAGGATTACAAGATTAAATATATTATATAGCTTCATAAGTACATGAAAGTAATTTGTATACAAACATCAAACTTAATATCTAGACATATACATTATTTTATAAATGTATAAATAATAGCGTTCATTCAGTAAATAATCAAAATTTTAAAAAGTAAATAACAAAAATATTACTAACACTTAATGACTTTTACATTTTTATTAACTTCGTACATAGTTTCAATTAGAGTTGATATAATATTTAGATAATTGAACAATATTGAATAATAAATATTTTTGTAATATATCCCATCAATGTTAGTTATTTTTCTTTTTTGGTACAAAAAAAGAGGCTAAAGCCTAGTCACCCACGTTACGTGAGTATGACACACCAATCACATCATGCTGCAATCACTGTCGGACCCCCGAAGGGGGCACACTAAACGAATGATATCCCATCGGACCCTCCGCAGTGAAGGAAGCCATGAAGTCGGCTGGAAAATTCGCCTCGCGATACACGTGTTTCACCTTAACTTGCCAAGAGCGACACATTAAGTCTTTAATTCTCCTCATAAGGCCCGAATGCACTCCCGAGACATCACCTAACGACTCCGCGAAACTCATCACACTGGCATTATCAACTTCAGCTTCAACCTGCCTATATCCCAGGTCCCAGGCCAAGGAAAGTCCCCGAAAGAGCCCCCATAATTTTGCTGCCATACTCGAGCAATAGTCGATATTCACTGTGAAGCCCCCAAGCCAATTCCCATTCTCATCCCATAAAAGGCCACCCGCACTGCCTAAGCCCGACACCCCGTTGAAAGAGCCATCGGAATTCAGCTTCACCCAGCCCGGTAAAGGCCGTACCCACCGGATCCATCGAGGAATACGAAGTCGCCCCGTCCCACCGAGTCGCTACGCGCTGTCGAGGTACGTAGACAGCCCGTCAATGTACAAAAGGATGTCTTTCATGCACGACGATAGGGTCCGACTTTTACCCTGAAAAATAAACTCATTACGCCACTTCCAAATCTTCCACACAACCACACCAAAAGTCCGATCCCACATATGCCCAATATCAGCCCCATGCAGCAAATTGAGCTCAAGCCAATGATCCAAGGGCAAATCGAAAAACTGGGAAGATACGGCCGCCGGAAGAAGACGGTTCCAGATGTTCTTAGCCAGAGGGCAGTCGCGAAGTACGTGCAAATATGTCTCTTCTTCAAGCCCGCACCACACGCAGCCGTTCGAGCTTGACAGATGCCGGCGACACCTCTCGGAATTAGTAAGGAAGCGGTTCCTCGTAAGCAGCCAGAGAAACGTACGTATACGAGGTGGGCCCAGCCAAGCCCAGATCACTTTCCAAAGAGCCCGCACAGCCACCGAAGGTTCTTCTACAAGGGAAGAATATGAAGATTTGGTAGAGAAGGAACCCGCAGAAGAATGGCACCAATAAAGCTTGTCTCCGCCACGGGACTGTTAGAGTAGGATACCCGGCGTTTCAATGGGATTGGACGTATTCTACTTGTAAATACAATCTATTGGAATTATAATAATTAAAAAGCATTACTTTATTTTAAGAGTAAGCATTTATCTTATATTTGCACTTAAGATAAAGTCCCTATATCACTTATAGCTATAAAGTATGGTTGCGCATAGAGATGGTGATCATGGAACATACCTTAAAAGTTGTGATCTTAAATACAGTTCCAAGTCGTTGGATGTTTCTAGATGGGATATCGAATAAATCCGAAAAAGACTTGCACATATGATGTATGCTTGTTGGATAAGAATGTTGCATTCCATCAACATTAGCGTGGGACGCAAATACATATATGTGGGTGCTTGTTAGAGAACAAGTTCACTGAACATGACCGTATGAAAATTCTTAATGAGAATTTTTCTGTCGAATAAGAATTTTCATGTTACAATAGTACATGATTAATCCTTAGACTTGAGGCACGATATTAACTTTGTGCATATTATGTTTTACTTTGATTTATCCTTTTGATTGCTAGCACAGCCGTATAAAGGGATATTTTGGATATTATATTAATATGTATGGAAGTTTGTCAGTGGCCAACAAAGGATTCGACACTTATGAAGATAAGTGAATTTCCTATGTGTTTCATAGTTAGTAATTCAAAGTCCTTGGCCAAGGCGGGATGAATAGAGATTCATAAACGAATTACTAAAACTTGAAATGGAATCATAATTATTAAATCAGTTTGGGTTTCGACAAAATCATACTCAAAGATTTAATCAGAAAATTGGATGTCGAAAGAATTTTACATGTATGGACTTGTAATCGAAATAGGTTTACTCGCTATTCACTTAATACTAGATTCATGCTACTTGTTAGATGTTCCCATGATATGTGGGTTCTCTAATAAGGAGTTAATTCATGAGTAAGAGTTAATAAGATTAACTCAAATTACAAAGAGTTGTAAACCCACTACTAGTATTAATTGTGAACCTAAAAGGTCACGCCAATTTTTTAATGAAGGTAAAATTCAAATAGTATTTCTAAAGAGTTAGAATTAATTGATAAATCCAATTTGATTAGATATCAATTAAAGGAATATATTAAATTAATCAATTAGATTGATTAATTGAATTTAGGATATTAATTTAGTAATTAATGGAATTACTAATAATTGGATTTTAAATTTCAAATCCAAATAATAATAAGATTATTAAATAAGGAAATGGAAGAATAGATTAAAATAATAAAGTCTTGAAAAAATATTTTTAAGAATTATTAATTTACTATTTATCTTTAATATGATTGAAGATTAATTATTAATAAGAATAAATTAATTATGGTGGTTTGGAGTTGTTAACCAATCCACATAATTAATCTTATTTTTATTAATACAATATTGGGTATGAATAGTCTTCTTCAAATTAATATTTTATGAAAAATATTCTTGAAGACTTTTTATATTTTATGAAAATATTCTACCTAATATTATTATTTTATACTAAAATGTTTAGTATAAATATGGACATATTTGATGTTCAATTTTGCTAAGTTTTTGGTTAAGTTCTTCCAATGATAAAAACATTCAAAGAGTTGAGTGATAAAACAAGAAAGAGTTCTTGTATAATTTCATTATAAATATATATTCTATACTTCTTGAAAAACCGAGTAGTTTCTACTAGCGAAGAAACTATAATCGGAACCAAAGTTCAAAAGGTGGATATGATTAGAGGGAAGACATTTGGATTCCTAAAGTGAGTAACCACAAGAAGTGATCGTTACCAAACCGGGAATCGATTTCCTCATACATCTTCATTTTGAAGGAGTTCAAGAACAAAGGTAATTTTTAAATTACATGTCAAATCAAAATTAGTAAAAGTTACTAGATTTTAAATGATGCTTATATGTGATCTTCTTATATTTATGTACGGAATAAGTATTTATAAGATAAATACTTATAAAAATTTTAAATTTCGCTGCATTCTCTATTTCGTACGGTATAACGAACCCAACAGGGACGCGTGAGGTGGCGGGATCGCCGTAATCTAGAGGAGCACAGCCGCTGGGAGTAGGTGCAAAAAGGTCGAACAGTTCCACTCGCCCGTGGCAGAGGTGAAAAAGCAGACGGGCTGGTCTCATAAAATCCGAGGAATCGCTGTTGTATCCACGGAGCTCAACGTAACGCCCGACGGGAGCCAACAATCCAGCCAGAACTTCGTTGTTCGACCATCGCACACGGCCCATTGGATTCCCGCCAACACCCGCGGCCACACTTTTCTTACCGATTGCAAAACTGGAGAACCCGGGCCCCTGTAACCTGAGATGGTGTTAAAAGGTTGTTCGCCGTACTTTGCTTTCTAAATACGGACCCATAGAGCATTTTGACTCATGAGAAACCTCCAACAAAGTTTCATCAAAAGAGCGTCATTCATCATCCTTTGACGCTTAAGCCCGAGGCCACCAGCATCTCGAGTTCGACATACCTCCTCCCACTTTACAAGGCTAATTTTACGTTTATCAGAGGAGCCGCCCCAAAGAAATCGCCGACAACGTTGTTTCAGATCCTCGCATATGGAGTTAGGTAGCCGGATTGACTGTATTGTGTAATATGGAAGCGTGCTTAGTACCAATTGAGTTAAAATGGCGCGTCCCGCCAAGGATAAAGACGCCGCCTTCCACCCTGAGAGACGAGATTCGGCCCTCTCAAGAATTCGAGCATAAGTTTGTCGTTTGGCCCAACCATGCAAGATTGGAACCGCCAAATAATGACCAAGGTCGTCCACTCTCGTATACCCCAACATAGTCGAGATAAAGTTACAGTCAACAGGATGGACGTTCTTAGAGAAGAAAATCATGGTCTTGGGCTCACTAACCCGCAGTCCCGAGTCATGACAGAAATTGGCTAAGACCTCCCGAACTGTGGCCGCCTGATCAACCGAAGCTTCAAGGAACAAGAGAAGGTCATCAGCGAACAGTAAGTACGGGACTTGCACGCCGCCCCGCCCGACAATGATTGGAAGCCACTCACCATGGTTGACAGCACGTTGAATGTTATGAGCTAGGCGTTCAATGCAAAGAACGAACAAGTACGGGGAAATAGGATCTCCTTGATGGACTCCCCTCGACTGCCGAAATGCCTCCCCCTGCACCCCATTCCACAGAATTTGCATGGAGGCAGAGGCAATACAAGTCATGACCGCCTTCAAAAAGGCCGAGGGAAGGCCCGCCAAGTGAAGGGTAGCCTCTACGAACTCCCACCTAAGGAAATCATACGCCTTCTCGAGGTCAACTTTAACCACCATGTATCCCGTGAGGCCAGATTTAGTTCGCATGGAGTGAATCAACTCCTCGGCAACAATTATGTTATCATGAATATGTCGGGCCGAAACAAAGCTCGATTGAGCCATAGATGAGCCCCGGAAGGAGAGGTTTAAGTCTGTTAGAGAGTACCTTCGTCATAAGTTTATACACTACATTCAGTAAGCTGATAGGCCTGAAATGTTGAATCGATTCGGGATGGTCCCGCTTGGGGATAAGGACCAATAGAGTCTTGTTGACTTCGGCCTGCATGACACCACCATGAAGCACATCTCTGATCACCTGACAGACGGACGGTCCCACTATCTCCCATTGGCTCTTAAAAAACAGCGCGTTTAAGCCATCAGGGCCCGGCGTCTTCAAAGGGTTCATCGACTGGAGGGCACGATAAATTTCCTCATTCGACACCTCCCTCTGGAGTAGCCGCGCATCGTGGGCCCGTAAGGGCGGAAAATCCGGCCAGGATGCGTGCGGGGTGGGCATCGGCTGGTCAGTTTGATAAATAGACTGAAAGTACGAAGTCGCCATTCGTTGGAGCTCCTCCTCGTTAGTCACTAAAATTGCCAGCACCGTAATTTAAGGCGACAATTCTATTTCGGCGCCTCCTCGCCTTCACTTGCTTGTGATAAAAAGCAGTATTTCTATCTCCAAAACAACGTCCAATCGCGCCTGGATTTCTGGATCATGAAAATCTCCTCCTGGAGAATGACGTCCTCGAGTTCAGCGCTCAAGGTCCGCTCCAACTGGGATAAGCTTGATGACTGACGGTGCTGCCGGGAACGTTGGATGCCTCCAATCCGGGCCAGGAGCTTCTTCTTCTTTTGAAAAAAATTGCCAAAGGTGCGAAAATTCCAATCCTTAGCCACATTAGTGAATGAGGTGGCCGCTTCCACAAACCGTCGATTCGCTGGCCAACATTCAAAAACCACATCCTTAAATCCCTCATGTAAGAGCCACGGGGCTAAAAACTGGAAGGTCTTGGTTCCCGACGGAGGGCGTCGCCCAAAAATACATCGCACCACCAAAGTGTTATGGTCCGATTGGATATGAGGAGCATGCATGAACGCTTCTGGGAAAAGATCCAGCCACTCCTCATTACACAGAAATCGATTCAACTTCTTCAAGAGATCCCGACGTCCCCAAGTGAACTGAGTGCCATCGGTCTTGACCTCATGCATGCCATGGTCGAATACCCACTCAGAAAAAGCAGTACACATCCGGCCTGCATCTGTCGAGCCACCAGATTTTTCGGAAGGTCGGAGGATGCTGTTGAAGTCGCCACCAATCAACCATGGACCTCGAATGGACCTCGCCAGATCATGGAGAATGCGCCGGAGAACCCTCCTTCTCGGCGTTTGGGGCGAAGCATAGACAAAGGTAACCAGGGATTCCTTACCCGCCATCGTGACATGAAGATGAACAAATTGTTTGTGACTTTGCAAGATAGTCACCTCAGCTGGCTCTTTCTATAAGATCCAAATACCTCCGGCGAAGCCAGAGGCCTCCACGCGAAAGGACCGCATGAAACCCGAAAACCGAATAAAACTGTCGGCACTAGTGTCGCTAATCTTTGGTTCAAAGACCGCTACCACCTCCGGTTGATGGGAAGAAACAATAGTAGAGAAGGCCCTCCGGAATCTACTTAAGCCTGCTCCATGCACATTCCATGCTAAAAAATTCATCAGCACTACAAACAGGGAAAAGACGATACCCTCAATCCAAAATAAGGCTAACGATGCCCTTAGTCCCCGATGTCCCACCCTAATCCATGGGGTAGTCTGGTTCACCCGAAGGCGGTCGTGATGCATCCGGTGGCTCCTCCTGGAGAGATGGTGAAACAACACTCGATGAGGGAGACACCTCCACCATGTCGCACTCCACAGGCTGGGAAGTAATGAACGTCACAACTTGGTTCTTGGTAGGATCCAGATCACTAACGACGGGAATCATGAAACAACCATCCTGTGCCACACTTTTCCCACGATTCACAGCACTCTCCCGACTCAAACCACTACTACGTCCCACCGCTCCTAGGCTTTCCTTAGGCTTCGGTATTGTTTTCCCACTCCCCGTTAAGTTGTCATCCCTAGCCACCTTAGTCGCCGTATGCGTCGGCTTGGGCCCTCACAAAACACTCTTAGGTTTCCACACCTTCGGACCAGACCCTTTTGCTTGCTCCCCGGCACGTGCGGTGAATACCAAATCTCCATTGGGAGCAGCCTGATTATGTGCCTATGGGTCCCCTTCATCCTCCTCGAGCAAAGTGTCAAACCGGGATCCCGACCCCACTGATCCATTATGCTTTGAAGGACCCGCACGATTCTGTGGAGCTCGAGTGTACTTCCGTGTACGTTTAGAAGCTATCATCCACGGTCCAGGTCCTGTTTGAGTTGCGTTATTTTCGCGATCAGCCCCTCCACTATTCACATTACCCCCGGAAGGCTTCTCGGTGTTCGATACCTCCTGGTGCTGACCCCCCTCAGTAGACTTCGAGGTAGGACAGAGAGCTGCCGCATGGCCATAAGTACCACATGAAAAGCAAATGTCCGGAAGGTTCTCATATTCAACACGTTGGACCCGGTCTCCAATAATGAAATCCGAACAAAGCGGCTGGGAGAGGTCTAAGAGACAAGCCAGACGGGCGTACTTCCCCTGGATACGAGCAGCAGTTTGATAGTCAATTTTCACCACTTTCCCAATTATCTGCCCAATGGACCGAAAGACCTGATAGTTATAATATTGCACCGGAAGACCCGACAACCGAACCCAAGCTACAACGGACTGCGTGCTTAAATCCGTCGCATCAAAATCGACTGACCACGGTTGGACATGGAGGTAGTGGTTAGCGATCACCCACGGCCCATTTGTGAGAGCCCGGAGCTGATCCTCGGGTGTGTCAAAGCGGACCACAAAGTACCCATTATCCAGGTCCATCATCGGATGGTTGCGAATCGATGCCACAGCGATGAAAGACGATTATGCATTACTAAGGGCGAGATATGGTGGCCGAGCAACCGGACCACGACTGCGCGTTTCCAGTCATGAATCAGCGATTCCCAAAAGGGGTCGGAGAAGGAGATTTTCCCCGACCTACCATTCATGACCACAGTGATGTCGCTTTCCATGGAGTCTGCGCCCTCCTCGGCGGAAGGATCGTTACGTGCGGGCGATTTTTACTCAACAAATCACGAAAACTCAGTTTGGGCGAAGCAGGACGAAGGTTCGGGGAGAATGGACGAGATGGTTCAATCGGAGGATGGTCAAAGATTCCCATAGACCGTCGCTTCTTAGACGGTGCGGAGGAAAGTGAAGGGTGCGAATAAGCCTCGGAGAGTCGCGGGAACTCACCCTCGCGCTGATAGGGAGGAACAAGCCGTTGGTCATCCGGTGGGTCAGCAGCAGTCTCCGATCGTCTCATTAGGGCTTCTTAGACGGCTTTTTTTTCACGCCTCTTAGAGAAATTTTTAAAGTGATACCTTTAGTTATCAATGTTAGTTATTAATCAAGAGTCTAAAAGAGATTAATTTGATTAAATATTAATTAAGTTAAAAATATTTGTTAGATATGTCCACCGCTTATGTGGCATTCACTCATTGGTGATGTTAATATGTCCAAAAAATACATGACCAATGTGTGCATTCCACATAAGCGGTGGGCATATTAACATGTGCCCACCGTGGGTAGGAGAGCATTACCCTATCATATATATCAACTCTTATGTAATTTGTGCAACACGAAATGAAACTTAGATGTAGAATAGAAAATCTCGTGTCAGAGGTTTAAAATGTAACAGAGCACGTCTTCAAATATCTCATGTTAGATCAAAGAGAAACATTATGTAGAATAGAAAATCTCGTGTCAGAGGTTTAAAATGTAACAGAGCACGTCTTCAAATATCTCATGTTAGATCAAAGAGAAACATTATCTTCGTCAGCATAAAGAATAGCTGGTTCGTCCACAAATCACCAATCACCTTTCAGAAACACAACAGCAAACCAATCCCTAAAAACTTGTGACAATTTCACCCTTACACAGACATAAGACACCAAATCTGATAAAATTAGAACATTTAAAAAAAAAAAAAAAAAACTTTGAGTCAAAAGTCCTATCAACATTTTCCAGAATCCATTTCCTATAATTACGAAATGTTGTATCAAGCCATAAACCACCCTTAGTTCAAAAAGAAACTGACAATAGATAGCACCAGCACCAAAACAACACCACCTAGGTGCAAGGTCGATGCGCTGGACACTTTCTGAGGCCTGCAAACGAGAAAAACGAAAATGTGTCGATATCAGCAAAACTGAAACCAAACGTGATGATAATTTATATCAGATTCATGTATGAGTATGAGTGTTGTAATAAAAATGATATACTTTTGCATGCGGCTGAGGGCACCACAGTAAAGAACGTTATCTGGCACAGGCAACTCGGTTTTGTTTGAACTGTCTTCGGGATTTATAATCCTCATGTACGTTTCTTGGCCGAGATACCACCTGTCCAAATTCTCTGTCCTAAGGTTCCAAACACCAACATTGTCAAGAGACACAAAAACAGCAGTCCATCCTCCAGCAAAAACCTGCGCATGTAAGGTGCATGCAATTGCAGTTAATAACATCGCAAGGAGATTTATAATATTTTGCTATAGTACAATTTCCTGGGCAGCAAATAAATAAACATTTGTAAGTGATCTTGCTACAAACAACAATTGAAAATAGTTGGTAAAATTGGTGAATGAAGTAACAGGAAACAGAACAACAAATTTTAGGTTAGTGTTCAATTTTAATTGTGTAAATATTGGCAGAATCAATTTTTTATTTCGAAAATTATCAAAACGTTCACTTAAATTTCCCAGTGTATCAAAATTAGCTACAAAATCATGTTACACGTGAATGCAAAAAGTTGATATTTTCAAATTTGGCGCGAGAAGTTAATAATGTTGTTTTCATGGCTTATGGTATTATGTCGGGAAGTTTTAGTCCATATCCACATTATGCGCTCACAAGTAATATCAAACCAAACCTAAATTTTTAGATGGCATTCAAAGCTACAAATTTTTAGGTTCAACCATACAAATTCCATGAATGAAATTCCTCGAAATTTTGAGTTATATTGCTGACGTATCTGGAATAAAGCTAGTAATTCTGTTTGCCAGGACCAATGCTTCTAAATTACAGGACCTAAATTGTGATTTCGTACAAAGGATATGATTTTCTACCCTGTAAGAACCCAAAATAGCATCATTTCCTGCAGTTTACGTTCGATAAGTTCCGAGTTGTGCGCTTTTGCCCCCCAAATGGTTGTTTCAACAACATTTATTCCCAAAGCACACTTAATTGTCAAAATAGTAGTAATAATAACAAATGCCTATTTTTACAAAAACACAAATCGTCAATGAATAAATTGCCACACCAACGACTGAAACTGCAACTTATATCTCAAACACATGCAAGAACAATTGAGGGCAAACCTGAACAGTGGAGCGGGATATCGCATCCCACCTGTTGTACGAGCCTCTGTTGTTCTCACTCCACTCGCCGTATCCCATCCTGCACAGCATAAACCAATTTATCAAATAAATCTAAATTAAATAAAATTTATCACTAAGTGCAAATAAGATTCCGAATTTCTGAGTCATACCCGACCACGAAGAAAGAATAACCGTCCATGTGAAATGTCTGGACAACAGTGTCGTTATTCTGCAACACAATCTCAATAAATCCCTTGTAAGTACCATTGATAATGGATCTATCCACGACCGGTGTCCTGTTCATGGGCTTCTCGGGAAAATCAAGCTTGTAGTCACCCTTCACTTTGTACACGTCAGCAAGGCGCATTGGTGTATCGGGATTTACAAATGATATCCCGTTGTAGGCGGCTCTTAATCTGCCGTTAATCGTCGCTGGTGGAAAGCTCCTGAGGATGTAAGTATTGGTGACATTGATTGAGCCATAGTGGAAGGAACCCTGTGGGTTTGGGCGGGCCCCGCTGGAACTGCCGTTTTGCCTGGCAGTATGAATGTCCGAAAGGGATTATGAGAAGGATAAAAGGAAATAAAATTCAAAAAAGGTTGAAGGAAGAAGGGACACATATGATAAATCGAACAGTGAGACTGGAGACAATTTAAAGTTTCAGAGATTGGTGACATTGATCGAGCTGAATTAAGGTAAAATTTTCCCATGGAGACTTTTCCAAGTAAATCTACAGTTTCTTTTACTCTTGTCTGCTAAAATTTGTTTGTGCATGAAATTTGAAGGGGAGACGAGAGACATTTTAAAGTTCTCCTTACTGACATCTAAGATCTTTATATCTTACTGTCACAGCTAAGCTTCAAACAGACATACTTCATATGCTAATCACTAGAAGTACCCTCGTGGTTCAATCTATATTAGAAATAAAACACAACAAAAAAAAATTGTCTATTCACAAAAATCCTTTCGATCAATCTTGGTAAGGGTTATGTTTAGTGTTCAGCAAGAAAGTATGCTCAAGTGCATATATGAAATTTACCAAAGGACACCACATCATAAAAAACAGCTGCTAAAATTACCAGAGAAAACTGTGAAGATGTATCTTAATATCAATAATAAAATAAATAAGTCAAGTAAAAAGGCCACCACAAACCTGATGGACATTGCCTGATTGAGTGAATACGACGTATCGTAATAATCACTTGGTGGCTCCGGGAGTGGACCTGCAGCCTCTCCCATAGAATTTGAATAATGCAAAATGGCAACACCGGTAACTCTTTCCCATAGTGACTCGTTCACAAATCGAGCACTAGCCACAATATAATAATCGCTGCTTGCATTTTGATCCATGGTGACCAGAAAAGTGTAAGATTGGCCAACATGGATGTCCAAGCTCGTGTAGTTCTGTTGAGATGTGTAGTAACCCTCAGTCTCCACCAGCAGCAGATTATGGTTCTGAATTCTGAAATTCAAACTAGTGGAGGTTCCAACATTGTGCACCCGAACCCGGTACGTCTTGCCTGATTTTACTAACATCATTAGTCTATTCACAGAAATATAACAAGGAAGTGTCGATTTTATCAATGGAAGATGGCAGCAGACTGAAATCCCGCCATACCATAACATTGCCATCGTTAACAAAATTCTAATGATGGTTACGTAGAAATAAGCGGCAGAAATCTGATAACACCGAGAAGCGTGCAGCTTTCATTGTGATCATTGAAAACTAGCGAAAGCTTTAATGTTTTGATATTTGAGCCACTGTGGTATATAATATTTATATATTCTCTTGTAGTTTACACTAGTGTTGCTTATTACGCGATGCATTTTGAAAATGGAAATTATACAAATAACTTCAAACAAAATTAAAATCTGATAACATACACAATTGGCATACAATGATATACATAGAACGGTACTAAAATACCAAAAATTGTTTAATAACTTCAAAATGTCGAAGGCTGAGCAGAAACCAACATACATTAGGGACACTAGTAAAGCATTTGGGACATTCTATTCTTTGAAGATATAAATGTAACTTGACAAGAAGGAACTGAAGTAATCACTGACAAGATTTTTACCAGGATCGACATTAACAGTCTCATGCTCAATCCCACCAGGAACAAGAGAAGTATTATATCTGTAAGGTCCTTTCCCATTGATAAGAACTCCATCCGGCATTCCGAGCCCTTTCCCATCATCCAAATCTTTACGAAGAGCCTAATAATATATTCATCCACCAACAAAAGAACCAAAATTAAAATTGCAATCATCAAGTACACACAATCACCATTAAGGAAAAAAAAAAATTATATCGCACAAGTCTTTTATGAGTAACCTACCGTATGGTTACGAGTGTACCAATCACCGATCATGATTACTATATCCCCATCGGGTGCATTGAAAGGAATTGGAATAATATCTCGATTCGTGACAATAAAAGGACCAAAGCCACCGGAAGCTCTCTGCAAGTTTAGTGATGGAAAATAAAAGAAACTACCAATTTGATCCTTGACCTGAAACTGATAAGTCCAGTTCCAATTTGCGGGGATCGGGCAGTTTGTGCCCAAAACTCCGTCTTGCCATGAAGATCGACGCATTTGAATACCAGACCTATTTAATAAAAGAAATCAAATAACGGGTCGTTAAACAAAGTTTAAGAAAAAACAGCCAACCTATAAAATTTGTTAAACATTTATTTGACTATATACCATGTGATCAGAAGATTTTCATCTAATTTGTTCTTGACGTTAACAACCACGTTATAATTAGTAGTGACGTTCAAAACAGGGCCCGGAAATTTTCCATTGACAGCAACTACCTGCAAATAAAGCAAAATACTCCTGGTGAAGAAGTTTGTCAAAATACAAAACGTTACAAGAGGAACAATTTCGGTATACACAATATTGAGTTTTGCCAGAAAACTGGAATATCAATCAAAACAATTAAATAAACCAACCAAATAATTCCTCAAATGTAACAAAACAAATGACAAATTTTGACGAAGTAAGCTAAATCCCAAATCAATTAAAAATGTGGTCCCATGACTTGTTAACTCTGCAGATAACAGAAACCAATAAATAAAGAATCATATCCTCCATTCCAAAATCAAACAGAACACTTAAAAGAAAAAAAAAAAAAATTGTAAGAAGATCCAATACAACAAACCAACTGATAAAAACATGAGAATCAATCTCACCCGCTGAGGAACACCAAGTGGAGAAGCAGTAATGTAAGAGAACTCCAATTGAAAGTTGGCAAAAGGGTCAGCACAGAAACCAACTCCCGCTAGCAACAACCCACCACCGCAGATCCAATACAACAAACCAAACGCCCCCATTACACTGAACGGCTTAAAAACTAAATAAATTTAAAACAATGAACAAAAAAAATGGGAAAAATCATAAATAACTCAGTGCCGTAGCTCTTCAGCTTTCTCCAGGCCCTCTCTGTTCTTTTTTTTCTTGACGAAAACAAACACAGAGCGTCCCGCAAATAAGAGAGGAAAACAGAGCGGCGCAGACGGCGTGCGTCAACTTCCTCCTAATGAGTAAATGTGAAAATTGAGGCGAAAACGGCAAAACAAGAAACGAGAGAGAGTATATATGTATGTATGTGAGCAAAAGAGGGCAATGTGCTGGATTTTCAGTAATTTCCGTTTCAAACATCAATTTCTTCTGATTCTAGAGATGTGTGGCGCCGCGCGTCATCTGTGCCGTTCCTTTCTTTACCGGCTACGCTCTCACCCGGTTACAGAAGTTTTGTACGTTGCCCAACGATTCAATTTTCTTACTTCTATTCTTTTATTTCCGATTAAAAAGGCAAATTTTTGATTTTCAGATAAGACAAATGGAATATTATGACAGTCGGCCAGTCAGAATCGTTTTAGTAGGTAATATTATTATATTGAGAATATATTTTATTTCCAAGTATTGAAAGCTTTTTCTGTAATATAATTATGGAAATAAAATATATCCTTAGCTGTTTTGCGTCAATTTAATAATATATTAAAGTCGGGAATATATGGGTCGATTCATTTTCTAATTTTTCTTTATATGGAATTGATTCTAGGATCAAAATTTAAAGTACATATAAAGGACATTGATAATACTTTTCGATATAAAAATTTGCAATAGTTTGATGAAATAGTAATTTGGGTATAGTTAGCTCTCTGCTTGATTGGATACTTGTCATTTAAATTACTAGTGTTGATACCCGTGCGATGCACGGCGTGTAATACAAAAAATATTTTATTATTTACATATTATATAATTATTTAAGACAATATAAAATTATATTCTCCACAATATTCTATTAAGTAATAATATGAAATTTATTTTATTTATAAGTTTATAAAATATTACAAATGTATAATCATATGATATTTGCATACAACTTACTTATATGTACTTATAAAATTGTCGATTACCAAAGTTATAAATTTTTCAACAATTCATAATTTACACGTTGTTTGATAATTGACCAACGTTTAACCCATAATATTTATCGTCTGTTATAATTATTAAGTGCATGCAACGTTAAAAACTTTGATAAATAAATTTTAATTTTTAGTAACTTTAATCATTATGCAACACATAATTTTTTTTGGTTGTATATTTTGTTTTTACTTCTTCAGTTCTTATTTACAATTATTTCTTCAGTTCATTATTCCAACCTATATAATGAGTTAATTAGTTTATATCCGAATATTTAGATATATTATATATTTAATCAATTACCAAGTGATTTAATTTAAATTATTATATATATTAGTATTTTATTAACTTCTTTTCATTTATAAAATAGTATATGAGGAAGATAAAATATTTTTTTAAAAGTGAATAGTACGTATTTTAATGTACATAGATATCTCTAAGGTAAAATTTACAACTTTGAATTGCACCCAAACATCAACTTTTATTTTTACTAATATATTATTTTAATTTTCAATAGTTTTATCACTATGAATGATATATTCAGTGGAGATGTACATTTTAATAGTTAATTTGACTACTTGTTAAATACTTTTATTAATATTTTAAATTGTTTATTAAATTAGTATGATTAAACATAGTTATTTTGATTATTTTATTAAATATTTTAAGTACTTTTGAATAGTGAGTAAAATTAATTAAATTAATACCTACAAATATAGATGATAATATATTTAATCAAATCAATTTTTATAATAATTTTGTGAACTGTGTCAATAAATTACTATTAAATTTATATAAGATCTTATTGAAATAGATTGTAATGCCCCGTTTATTTGTGAAATATTTGAGATTATTTGTTTATTTATTTATTTCATTATTATTATTATTATTATTATTATTATTATTATTATTATTATTATTATTATTATTATTATTATTGTTGTTGTTGTTGTTGTTGTTATTACTAAATGCCTTATTGCTATTATTATTATTATGTCTAATTGTTTAAATGCTAATTATTATTAAATAAATATTGTTGTGTGAATTATATAAATATAAAATAATTATTTTTTGTGTAATAAACAAATATTGTGAAATCGAGCCCGAGAACCCGAGTCTTCGGAACTCACGCACATGAACCGACCCGATAATTTGAGAACCCGCGCCCCTCGGCCCTTTGGCCCGAAGCCCTACCCGGCCAACTCTTTCTCTCTCTTGTGTGTTGTGTTATTTGGATGGTAAGTCTTGTACAACCCTAAGTCACTTAGTACAAGAGGAAAATCCTTCTCTTTTATTTACACCCGCAGCCACCCCACCATCTCTCTGCCTCTTGCATCGTACAAAAAAGAAACAGAGAAATCAGTCTCTCTCATTCGTCATCGCGAAACCCGCACCATCATCATCGTCCCACCATCATCTTCATCGTCGCGCCATCATCATTAGAGCTGCACCACTCCTAGCGAGACCGTTACCTACTGTTCGCGTGACCAAGTGTTGTCCCAAGGCTCGAGTCCGCTAGCAAGCCGCCGCGTCGCAGCCCTTAGCGCCCTCCTCCACGGCCAGCGACCACTGCATCCTCGCCCTGCAATCGTCCCGAGCCCCTCCCCGCCGGCGAGCAGCGACCTCCACCTGCACCTGCTCCGCCTGCGAGCAGCCCCGACGGCGAGCCTCCCTCCTCTTGCGAGCTCTCCTCCGGGCAATCGCTGCACAGCGCCACCACGAGCCGCTGCTCCTCCCCCCCTCGCGTCGCCGCGACCAGACCCTCGCACAGCAACTCGACGAGCACCCCTCCCCTGCTGCTCCTCCACCGTGACAGTATATTTCCGGCGAGCACCCGCACGACCAACCGGCAGCCCTGCTCCTCCGCGTGTTCGTCACCTCCGCAGGCCATCATCTTAGGCTCGCAGCCCCTCCCGAATGTCTCGTTCAGCCGCTGTCCCGAGAGCTACACGTTCCTTGCTGTTTGTGAGTTACTAGTAGGGCCTTTGTGCTGTCCGTCGAGTTCCGTCGGAGTGCCGAACGTAGCCGTCAAGTCCCGTCGAAGTGCGCGTATAGCCGTTTAAGCCCCATTCGGCCCTTTTTCTTGCTCGTTTAGCGTATCGTGTCCCGAGAACGGTATTCTTTTGAGCTCGGGCTGAATTTATTTGTTGCTCATAATTATCAAATCAAAATATGTAATAATTCAAGTGAAAACGATAAGATTTTATTATTCTATCGTGATTAATAAGACCGAGTTGGACCTCGGACAATGTGTTTCGATATATTAATTTTTAAGTCTAAAGTAGTGATATCGAGTCTTGCTTAACATATAATTTTCGTGATTTCGATGAATTGTTGATGTACGAATGTTTCGAGTTGTTTAAAGCATGAAAACCAATTTTTCGAGCCTCAGTTGTGCTCAGTTCTTGTCGACCAAGAAGCTATTTCTTGGACGAATGTTTTTATGAGTTTTGTAGTGATTTGAGTTAGGTTTCAGTGAGTTTTGAAATTTTGTGATTCAGAGTTGAAATAAATTTTATATGAATTTTCAAAGTTGGACGAGCATGCTGTTTTGATAAACTCGGGCCGAAAAGTTGATCTTAGTTCAAGGCTATTTTTGATGATCTTAGCGTGCCTGAATGAAAATGTATTCCTAATGACAAATGTAGTACATGTTGTAATCTGCTTGTGAGAGTAAGAATTTCTGAAAAAGGAGTTGATTTGAATTTTATATGATTTTTCTAATTGGGATGTACACACAATTTTTATGAAACCTAGAGCTGTGTTTAAGTGTTGAATGTGTCCTCTGTTTTGATGACCCGAAAGTGTTTGTATGAAATAGTTCTCTTCATAACAATTGTATATTTCCATGTGTAGATTCTGTAGTATTTGAGTTTGTATGAATTGGAATTGTGTAGCTTGAGTTGTTGCCATTTTATTAAGGTGCTGTATATTTGAAAAAAAAATTTGTTCGTTGTTTCTGTTGTACCTCAGTTTAAGCCATCAGAGACCGATTATTTGAAGTTATTTTCTTCTTATGAAATGTAGAATGTTCAGTTGTCTGTATGTGGACTTTGGAATTTCGTAATTCCGAGCTATATCGAAAAAATTAGGATTTTTACAATAATATTGCGCGTCCAGTTTTTCATGCTACCCGACAGCTTGTGTGAAATTAATGTTTTACCTGTTTGTCGTGTTGTAGTGTGCTCGTATGAACTTATACTCTTCATGAAAGTTATAGGTCCGTTTCTTATCTTTGAAATGAGATAAATATCATGTCGATTTGTGCTTTGTAGCTCGAGTTGTGCTCTTATGAAGGTTGGCATGCATGAGATAAAGTTTTGTACCGGGACAGAAATCTGAGGCTGATTGTTAACTGATTTTACGTTATCTTAATGACCTTATATGCTTGAGTGTTCTTCATGAAATTCAAATAGGCATGAGTTAGGGATTTTTTTCAAGTGGTTTCATCATGATATGATTTGTAGACTGAAAGCTACATGCATTTTAAATTCATCGTGCATGCTGAAAATTGTTGCAAGTTCAGGTTTAGAATTCTAAATTGAGTTGTGTTGTTTAAAAGCATGTTTATGTGGCATAACTGAACCATGTTATGCTATGTGATGTTTATATGATCCTTCAATGTCCTAAGTGCTAAAAGTTAAGCAAGCTAAGATATTCACCAACCGAAAAGTCTTATACATAAAACGTTTTCAAAGCAAGGCGAGCAAGGCAAAGCCAAGTGAGCTAGTTTCAAAGCTTATATATATGTATAAGACTACGAGAATAAGATAAGCCTTGATAAGATTATAAGACAAGTCCTAACGAATGTAGGTATTTGACGAGTTGTGCCTCGACTACCTACTGCGTTCCTGGTTTTATTGTTTACTCCGGATACTAGGTGGGTCTTATTTAAATTGTCTAT